TGGTGGTTTGATACTGAAGGAGCTGGCCAGGCTGCCTTGACAAGGTTGCTTGTACTGTGAGTGAGTAAGGAGCGCTTGGGGGAAGTTTGGGATTCCTGACTGCAGGAATCCCTGACCTGCTCCTTCCATCCAAAGAAGCAGCTTCTTATGGTGGGGCTCTGGCAGGGCCAGGGAATAGCTGGCAGTCTCCTGAGAAGGGCTGCAATCCTTGGGACCTGAGCACCACAGCTGTAGGGATCATCCTCATCACTCACACATTAAGTTTTTGTGCCTGATTTTGAGACTTGGGCTAGCTTGTTTATATCCCTCTTGTTCCAAAAGAGGATTTCAAGTGGCTTCCCCTGGCTAAGCCTAGTGCAAGGAGCTGGTGCTAGAGGAGAGAGGTGGTGCTAGAGGCTAGAAGATCCCGTCTCAGTCCTCTGGGAGTTGACAGTCTAAATCAAATCCTAGACTCCCCCTGAATTCCCACTGAGGAAAGCTTCCTTGGATTTATGGAAAGAACTTTTAAAATCTAAGGCTAACAGTGCAACCACAAAAAATAAATCAGTGCACAGAGATATGGCTAAAAAGCCAATAAATAAATTAAAATGAAATTTAAAAAATATTTAGTTAACCCAAAAAGAAGACCAGAAAGGAGGAACAAAGGAATAGAACACAAAAGAGAGAAAAAACTCAACTATATCAATATTATATTAACCATAAATGACTAAACATTTCAGTTAAAAGATAGAGATTATCAGACGGGCTAACAGCAAGACACTCATATATGATAACACAGATAGGTTGAAAGAAAACGATATACCATGCAAAAATTAAGCATAAAAAGGCTGATATTAATATCAGATAAAGTAGAATTCAAAACAAAGAGTATTACCAGTAATAAAGAGGGACATTTTATAATGATAAAAATGTCACTTCATCAGGAAGACATAACAATCACAAATTTGTATGCACCCAAATTGTAGGATAAGACCTTAGTGAGGATAAACTAAAAGTCTTAGCCATGGGAGGGCTACTGTGTACTGGAGATGGGGTTTGGTCCCAGCAGCTGGTGCCAGACTTGCAGCTCCCCATAAGTGTGTATGAAGTCACTCTGCTTGGGGGGTTCTGGGAGCAGTCTAATGAGTCTAGTGAATCTCAACATTCTAAGCTAACTAGAAGGTCTAAATAAACCAGGGTCCTCAATTTGGGAGCAAAACACAGGCTGGTCCACTCTCCTTCAAGTGGTGCCACAGAACAGCAGCCCTTCAGACTGTGAACCCCACCGCAGCTTCTCACTGTCAGCCTTTTTGAGCCTCACAGAAACAGTTAAGAGGAATGAGTCTACCCTCCTTAACCGTGCCCAAGAGGCTCTGGTCCCTGTCTCCCATTCAGCCTCATCTCCTCTCCTTCCTCCCTCACTCTAAAACCCAGCTACAGCTTTTGTTGATCCCAGAAAGAACACTGTTTCCTCTGTGTAAAATGCCCCCAAGCCCTTTTCTACCTCACTCTTGCTTCGAAAACTGGCTCAGTAGCTGAGAATTAGATTTAAACAGGATGAGAGCTTTGCTAAGTGAAGAAGGCAAATCTTGAGGATCAACGGAGTGATTTAATAATTGACCACAGAATTTAGGCTGAGTGGAGGGGGGGACATCAAATTGGGATTGACAATGAAAAGATGATCGGATCAATGGGTTCCATTTAGATTAAATTATTTTTGCAGTTGGGTAATAGAAGAGATGAGTGGGAAAGACAGGAAATGCTGGTCAGACTATGGGGCATTGAATTGAGATAGAAACAACATACATTCTATTTTACACTGTTATTTTCAAAGTTCTTAAATGTTTCCACTTATAGTGGAGGAAATATTCATCTAAATGTTACCAAGTCTTGCGTCCTTATTTTTCTCTACAGCAGTGAGTAGTGGTTTGGTAACAAGATTGTCTCATATCCCCAAGAGCAGGCTTTCTACTAGCTGGATAACTTGTGTACTTGTCATTCTGAAGGGAGAGTGACTGATTTGACACCTGATGGACTTGGCTTTCTATACATCATCATTGTGTTTTGATAAATCACGATGAAAAATAAAACTTTATAGCAATGAAGAAAGTAATATATTTCCTTTTTTGGCTACACTCCTTATTCTTTAACATAAAAGACTGCTAAAATTCTTCTTGGATAGCTTCTACGACCAATGGGTTGCATAATATGATTTAAAAAGCCCAAAAAACTGGCTCTGGTATTGAAGAGGAAACCAGCCCCTCCATAATCAACAGAACCTGCTGATGACACACCCTACAACCTAAAAACTGGAGTAACAAAAAGGATCCTTAACCTCCTTTAAACAAATTTCATGACTCTTTACAGATCCTTCTAGGGCCTACACCTCTGTATTCTTTTGAATCTGGAATTCCCCTTGTTCGCAAATGTATATTTGACTAATTTTCAAATGAACATGATCAGTTTTCCCTTTCAAATACCCTTCTAAATTTTGCTTTTGTGTGAGTACAAGGCCCTTCCTCCCTTGAGGATCACAGAAGTGATTCCTGGAAGGGGTGGTGTGTGTGCACACTTGTCTCGTTCACATCTAAAGGACAACCTGGGAGCCTGAAGTGTTAGGAACTGAGGTGTGATAGTCACCTGGCTTTGGGCTGGTGTCACTTCCTTCATTTCTTCCTGCTTGCAGATCTTTAGTAAAAGATAAAAGCCATATTTCAAAATTCTAAGTCTATGGAGTTTTCCCCCCAACAGTACTGCCTCCTCTGATCTCTGCAGGCTAGGGAAGGAATCCCTGATGTGGACCTCCACAGCAGCCTGTGCCCAGCTTTTTCACAGAGAGCACTGTCTGACCCTCCCTCAATAAGACGAGTTTCCTTACAGTGGGGACTGGGCTGCTCCTGTGCAGCCGCCTGCTCCAGTATGAGGCCTGTGGAGAAGAGATGTGCACATTTCACCTGGCGCACTCAATGCCTGCCATCCTAAATTCTCCCAGAGCTGCCGTTTCATCAGGGAGGACAGCAAGCTGGCTGCACACCTGCACTGTGGGACCTGCTGCAGTAGAAATGCACCTCCAACAACACCTGCACTTTCACTTGCCCTCAGCTTTACCTGAGGGTTGACAGAGGCACTGCTATTACTGTCCATTATCAAAGTAGGTAGTGCTCCTTGAGTATCTGTTAAACAAGGATCCAGACACATACTTCTCTGGAATTCCAGAGTGAGGATAAAGTTTCTCTCTCCGGATGAATTATCTTTTTATTCTCCAGTGCCTCGAACAGTGCCTGGCACGTGGTGGTCCTCAAGAGGTGTCTGTAGAGTGAATTAGATGGATATGGAACAAATGTAATCCATAGCATTTCCCTTTTCTGTCTTGGCTAGTAGGAATCTTCAAAGCTAAGTGTAGATTTCAACTGCAATTGTTTCCCTGCTTTTCTGCTAATAATCCTTCGTGTTTTTCATTTTGGGCTCTTATTTTGGACTTCTGGTTTTATTATAGCTTATCTTTTACTCTTAAGTCCCCTTTCTGGAAGTAGCTTATAGAAAGATAGAGGACAAGACGGAGAAGATTTTTAGTCACCAGAATCTCTGCTGGGGAGAACACTACTTATTTGGAAGTCGCTGGGGTGGGTCCTGCACTCCTGAGGAGGCAGGAGAAGGGCAGGAGTTAGGGAGCTAGTGGAAGCCCTCGTTGGTTCTGTGTAATCCCTCCTTCGGCCCCTCTGTCCTGATAAGAGGGGAGACTTCTTGTGGACACTGATGAAGGGGTGGGAGTCCAAGTCTAGGGTATCTCAGGGTAGGACAGAGATAGCCCTTGGGCAGCAGAAAGGAAGGAGATTAAAGCAAGAAATAAAGCCTGAGGCTCCTAAATTTCCCCACATCTCTGAGAGGCAGGAGGTGTCGAGGACAAAAGGGTGGAGAGGATAAAAGGAGAAAGCACATCTGAGTAACAGGTTCTGTCAATTATAGAACCAGATCTGAACCAACTTGTGAGTAAAGACATCATTAGAGCTACAAATTATCTGCATTGTGTACAGGGAAAAATTTACAGAATTGGGATACAGAGAGGTTCCTGACTAATCTCTGAAATCTGACCCCAAACTCTTAAAGAGAGTCCTAGAGCTGTTCAAAGCCCAGCTGCACTTGTGCCTGAGGGAAAAAGTATCCGGAGCTAATGTGAAAACACGGAAAACTGGGGGGGAGAGTAACTCAAGGCCAAATGGAGCTTTAACGATGTTACAAAATTCTAGTCCCTGAGGACAGAGCAAGTTTCAAAAATGACAGAGACAGCGGACTTAAGAAAACTCTGTTGTGTATCTCAGGGCAGTGGAAAGACCAGACCCCATGGAGGCCAAGAGATCTGGGGCTTCTGAGCAGCTGTGTAACTTTGGGCAAGTTCCTTAACCACTCTGAGCCTCAGTTTCTTCACCGATAAAATGGGGATGTCCACAGTGCCTGCGCCACAGGGCTGTGGATGAGATTAAATGAGACAATGTATCCAGCACAGATGTAGGCAGCACAGTTTACACAGGCTTGCTCAACCAATGGGGATTCCATCCCTGCTCCAGACTCTGATAGCTGGATGTGAAAAAAGCATGAGATGTCTGCATGGCTAAGAGTGTCAGTGACACTGTTCACCACTCATTTTGGATCTTTCAATATATTCTAATTCCTTTTACCCCTATCGAGATATACATATGAGCAGATGTGAAATGTAAATACAGCACAAGGAGGGCCTCAATCTTTTGTTTTAGATTATATCATTTTAACATGCTAACTTTCACTCTACCTGACATGATGAACATGAAGTGGTAAGGACATGGATCTCTATATTAAGTTCACATCCTAAAATGGAACCAGTAACATTTAGATACCCCGCCTCCCAAGTTAGCCCAACTAAGAGATCTCTGAAACCAAGAGTGATGATACCTCTACAGAAAGGAAACCCAAACAGATTCTTGCTGTAGTGGGAGGGTTCTTTCATTCCTAAAAGGTGAATAATGTCACAAAGAACTCAGACTCACCAGGGCTTGCAGTTTAGGACAGTGAATGGAGAGCTGGATGAGCGTGCTGTCGGTTATCTAGAGAGAAACACGCTGTGTCAGTGTGGCTTCTACACCAGAACTTAACACCTAATCCTGGCTTCTCCTGAACACAAGAATCCAAGTTGCAAAAGAGAATTAAAAACTAATCTCAAGCACACCTGGGCCGGGAGCTCCTCTTTTTACTAGCAACCTCAAATCTGCCCACTCCTGGAGATGCAAAGCTGTTCTTTGGTCTCTCCTCTGGTGCCCCAAGGGGGCCTAGGGACAGGGAACAAAGAGGGAGAGGGCAGGGAGGGCCCTCCAGGATTCTTCTTTGTAGACTCACCTCATCACTGGACATGCAAGTTTTCTCCTTTAAATTCTGTGAAAATAAGAGTCTTTTTTTTTTTTTTTTTTTACATGTTGGGCAAATGATGGAGCTATCCTGAACTTCTCAGCTGTAGCTCTGTCTGATGACTGAGAATAGCCCAAAGTTTATGCATCCCACTGCCATGGCCCTCATGAGTTCCCAAGCTCTGACACCTATGCTGGGGCAAGGAGGGTCCAGACAGTAGCCAGTCTCTGGCTATGTCAGCAGTCCCTGGCTGCAGGGCTGAAAGGAGTCCACTCACCAGAATGCATTCCTCAAGATCCATCTTTTCCAGGTCATGGCAGTTCTGAAAGAGTCCATAAGACATCCCCCACCATGCAGTCAGTGGTTAGGGCAACATTGGTACTGGCCTAGTATCCCTGTTTTCTTCCATTAAGGAATGTGCTCAGTTCCTAAAGTGACCCAGTACTTCTGAGCAGGTGCCCTTTGAATCATATTCACTTTGGAAATGGGAATAGGGCTGCCCTGGGCTGCATTTCCTTCTCTCATCCTGGAAAGGTAGTTGCCTACACCTTCCTGGTGGCTCATAGGTATCAGCATGTAAATTTTAGCCATAGACTAGGCTCTGGGAGGGCATGGTAATGGGGTACTCATGCACAGTGTGGGCAGGTGAGGGCTGGGGTAGGAGGAAGAGCGTATCAGCACCCCAGGAGGACAGAGGTTCCCAGCAGCAGGCCATAGGGAGCCCCACGGTGGTTGGCATTTGCAGGGCAATTTGGAAGAGGGAGCAGAGGCAGAGCACAGCCCAGTTAGGGGAAGCTGCTGAGAAGCTGAGCCGGGATCTGTATGAGGAAGGGCATCTCCTGCCAGGGAGGAGGTTCCTCTCAGTCTGGTCCCACCTGACCAAGTGAGAGTGAAGTCTAAACTTGCTAGAGAACCCTCTACAGGACCTCCCTAGTTTTCTGGCCAACTGGAAAAAACGGAAAATGCACCCCGAGGACTCTATTCTACTTGATGTCTGTCATTTCTGAAGGTATTTTTTTGCACTCTCCAAAACCACTCCAAGTCACTTTGAACGAGGGAAGTGAATTAGTTTGGTTTTGTGTTTTAAAACCTCTACCTTACCCGAGCTAAAAGTGTAAAGCCTGCGTCAGTCAAATGGGAACATCGGGCAGCCTCCAAAATCCTGGGATAAGGAGTGCATGGGAGAAAAAGTAGCGACTGGTTAACAATAGAAACATTTACTTTATGATGCACATTCTTGAGTTTATTCCGCTCTTTGACACACTTTTGCTTCTGGCAAAAGGGTCGTAAATGCAAATACTGTCACCACTAGACAGATGAGGAAAACGGGGCTTAGGGACGAATGTGGCCTGCTCTAAGTCCCACAGTCCTATCCCAGCTTCAAATAGTAAATCCAGGAATCTTCCCACAATACAGCACATTGTTGCTGCTGTTGTTTTTATTTATTTTTATTTTTATTTCTTTTTGCTGCTATTTTTAAATATTATTCCAATATTTTTTGACTTTTAAATACAAGTAAAATGAACTGTTACTCAATAAAATCATCTTGACATATACTGTATTTATTGAAATTCCCAGTTACCCTAAAGGAAATTTTAAAAATTTGCAGCCAAAGCAAAAAAATGAGTTAATTTTCAATACTTCATGCTTAACAGGGATGGATGCATAAATACCTTTTTGTTTGTTTGTTTGCTGGGAAAGACTCGTGCTGAGCTAACATCTGTTTCCAATCCTCCTCTTTTTTTCCTTGAAGAAGATTGGCCCCAAGCTAACATCTGCACCAGTCTACCTCCACCTCGCATGTGGGTTGCCGCCACAGAATGGCTTGATGAGTGGTGTAGGTCTGCGCCCAAGATCTGAACCCGCAAACCCCGGGCCACCGAGGCAGAGCGCATTGAATTTTAACCAGTAGGCCATCAGGACTGGCTCATAAATACCATTGTTAAGTTAAATACTTATAGCAATAATTTTGACCTCCTTTCTGACCAGTTTTGATTACCAAGATTCCTTCTACTATGCAGAAATATCAAAATATCTAGAATCTTCTCTAATACAACAGTAAGAAAAATGGGTAAAAGAAAGAAACAGACAATCCTTAAAGGATATGTAACTGGTGCAGCATGAAGAAATGGACCAGTTTCACTGATAAGTAAAGACTAACAAAACAAGTAGCTGTTTTTCTGCCTCTTTATAGGGGTTAAGATTGCTGGTTCTGAAGTCAAACTCTGTAAGTTCAAATTCTAGTTTTACTTCTTACTCATCACATGACCCAGGATAAACTATGTGATTTTCTTTGAGTCTGAGTTTCTCGTCTGCAAAACAAGCAAGAATAATAGTACCTATCTCCTAGAGATGTGGTAAGGATTAAATGAGATAGTGCTTATAAAAGTGCCTAATACAGAGCCTGGAATATATATGAATTCTACTGATGTTAACTATGATTAGTATTTTGTTGCCATTATTAAAGTTTTAATAGTCACAGTATTACATGGATAATCAGAAAATAAATCATTATTTGTTAAAACAAAACTTTTTTTCCTGCTAGGGGAAGATGATAAATAAGGAGACTGTGATTTCTCCCCCATTCCGTCCATTTAGCAGCTGCTTTAGAGGAGAACCTGGTGACACTGGGATGCCAGGCTATCACTCTGCTCACTATCAGATCACTCTGATATCAAAGTAATAACTGCATGAGGCAAATCAAGTGGGCAAACGTGAAGTCTGTCAAGAAATTAAGGATCTCATTCCCTGGTGGTGGAGAGGTTAGTCTTTTCCCGTACATCCCTAAATGAACCGGATTACACATTGTCCCACCCTAATCCATCTGACAAAAGCCAACAACAACACAACCACCACCTTCTCCACCACCACCTATTCCTACTGGTAAGCCTTTCCCCTCCTGCAGGAAGCCCTCTCAGTCAGCCCAGCCAAGCTCTGGGCTGCAAAGCAAAAGTGTGGCGCACTCACTGAAGTCTTGGGCAGTTCAAAGCCAGGGCTGTGAGAGAGGCATCTGTGAGGTTGCTGCAGCCAGAAAGGCAGAGGGCCTGCAGCCGGTGGCAGCCCCTGCATATCTGCACCACACCTTCATCCGTAATACGCTGGGGAAAACCAAAACAGGAAGGAAAATAAGAAGGCACCAGCAATACTGAAATGAGAGCAGCAGAAAAACAGGACCTACTGGCAGTGGATTAGTTTGGGTTGTCAGTTACTAGCATTTTATCCTAAAAATTTAAACAAAATGAGATGAAATACAGGGTAGATGTATTGTTATCTCCGCATAGCTTTAAAATATTCTAGCATTACTAACGAAGGGTGAAATTTTAAAATTTCATTTCCCTCCCCAGAGTTATCTGATTTTTTTTTCAGGAAAAACTCACAAACTTGTGTTAAAAATCAGATTAAATAAAGAGTTCATGAGACCTGTCTGGTTAAGTGACATTAATTTTTTGGTTGAATTTCTACAGATTAATGTTTTAGATATCTACCACATAAATCCTATGTGTATATTTACACTATTTCCTCAAATGTTTTAGAAAACAGCAAAATTAAATAAATCACTAAATTATTGATAAATGGCTTAGAATTCCATGAGTTTAGCCAGGAGACACAAAATAATATCTTTATTTAAATATACTAATTTATGTAGAAATAAACATGCACATTTATATTATACTTCAAGACATCTGCCAGTACTATCCTACATGCAATTCAAGGTCCTGTTTTTGACCAGTGCAGTCCCGTAAGGTCAATATTTTTCTCAAAGGTAGTTCTGTTTTATCTCCCACCATCAGGGACTCGAAAGATTTATGATTCATTCACTAAATGCCAAACACAAAGGATTTCTCTTACTTTACTCAAAACTGACGTTCCCCTTGAGAAACCCAGTAGGATGTAGCAAGTATCATCTTCAATTATCAATATTTACTATGGCAGTGAAGAAAGAACAATAGTTTTTCAGAGGCTAATGCTCTGATGAAAATTACACCTTGCTCTTGCAGATGCCCTTTCTTTTTCAAAGCATTTTCCCATCTGTTACTTCATTTTATTCACTGAAACAACGTGAGAGGTGTCATCATTCCAAGTTTATAAGTAAAAAAAAAGACACTGAGACCTTACCATGAATTGTTTAGGTTAGTGACTAGTTCACAGCATTCCTGACATCTCAAAATAAACCAAGACCTCGGGCTATATTATTTTTAGGGAAAATGTCAGTGGTTTTCTATTGGCATTTTTGTTCAGATTGCTGTTTTCTCGTCATGTAGCAAATTGACAGATCATATAAGGGCACAGGAGAAGAAATAAGGGTGCGGCAATCATCCCCCCTGCCTAGGGCGCTTCATAGTGGGGCCTGCAGCAGACTCCCAAGGGAGAGAACATGGAGCAGGGGGTGCTCACAGGAAAGGCACGCTACTTACTGAGCAGGACTGTAGATTGAGGCTCACAAGCTCATGGCAGTAACTCTGAATGTGTTTCAGAGCTTCGTCCTCTAGCTGAGTGGAGAGAGAAAACAAGAGAGGGATGGAGCCAGGTGAGGGAACAGTGGGGCACCAAGAAATGCAACAGCAAGTTCCGTAACGAAGCGCCCACACCTGTTGTTAGGGACATGTTAGACGAACACGACTGTATTGACCCCTTGGTACCTGTGTGCAGCCCCTCAGAAGCAGGGCTTTCAGGCCCCGACAACCTCGCACCAGTGCCTCAATGCCATCCTTCGTGATCTGATCACACCAAGAGAGGTTCAGGTACTCCAGGTTTCGGCAGCCCTCACTGAGAGAACAAAAAACAAAACCACGCATGTGCAGTCTATCCTACTGAGAGTTTATTACCAACTTTGAGTTTAGTAAATTAAAAGCAATTCACAGGAGCGAGAACCTCTGACACCTGTCTAAGTCGCCTATTTCCTGCTCCAATGGGACCATTAGAAAGGTTTCAGACACACCAGAATGTTCATAGCTTTGGGTATTTCTCATGACCACAAACAACAGGTACTCCTACCTGATCCCCTTTAAGGAGCTGTTTGTAATGGACACACAGGAGGTCAGATCCAGATGTTTCAGCTTGGAACAGAATCTGCTAAGGCTATAACACGTGCTGAAAAAGAGCAGACGCACTAAAGATATTTTCAACCATGTTTCTCTCCCCTCACTCTCCCCATGGCCAATTAATCACCAAACTAATTTTCATTACTTACCTGTCAGTGATTTTTGTGCACCCATTGAGGTTTAAATGTTCAATGTTTCGGCAGTTCTGCGCAAAGGTCCTAAAATGAGAAAACATTTAAAAACTCTGTGAAGTTGCTGGGCAGCCACTAGAGGGCATGTGTAACCATTCACATTCAAAACAGTGCTCCTCAAACTTAAAAAAACTTGATTTTATTGCGGAAAGAACACTTAACATGAGATCTACTCTCAACACATTTTTAAGTTACAGTATATTATTGTTGACTAGAGGCACTAGTACACCTCAAGCTTTAATGTGCACATGAATCAGCTGCGGCTCCTGTCACAGTGAGGCTTTTGATGGTAGATCTACACAAACTGCTTGATAGTCTGCATTTCTAAGAAGCTCTCAAGTGATGCCAGTGCTACTACTCTGGGGACTACGCTTTGAGAAACAAAGCCCCAGACCGACTACATATCAGTTGTGACTCTCCATCACCCACACCTTGGTGGTCATCTGAGAATGGAGGCCTGGCTCCCTGTTTCTTCCCCTCTAGAGAAAAATCAGTTGGAAGCAAGGGGGCTGAATCTTCCTTGTATTGTGCCATGCTGTCACTTGGTTACCCTAGAGCCTTTCTGGAGAAATCGTCTCTGGCCATTGACAGGATACAGTAGTTGATCAGTATCAAGAACCATCCATTTACTGGTGAGGACACTAAGTCATGAAGGGCAACTTCCTCAATGATTTGTGGTTTGGTAGCAAGGCCAGAAGCAGAAAATTAAACATCCTTTACTCTCCACTTACTGCTTAACATATTCAGCAAGGACTGGCTCAGGTCATCTGCATTTTCCTGAAATACAACTTCAATGTATCTTATAGGATTAAGTCCTGATTCTTCCATGCAGTACCCAAATGTCTCCAAAACCTGGCCTCAAACCAGATGTCATTCTTATCTGCTCCTTCTGCCCTGCTATGGTAGAGGGAAGGAGAACTAAGCTGGAGCCTAATGGACTTCCTGACTTGAGGATATGGAGCCAAATGTCTGACCAAGGCAGTTAGAGTTATCAGACAAAGTACTGGAGTGAGTGGAGAGAACTTCAGAGATCTGCAGAGGGTTCCCCTGAAGAATTCAGTAAAGTACTGATCAGAGCATGCATATGAGGAAACCACCCAGACTGGGAAAGAATAAACAAAAAGCACTAAAGGGAACAGGAGCCAGAGCTCACCCAGAGCCAGGAACAGTGCCCATTCCCACCAGCCAACAGTGAAAAATGTTATAATTTGTAGGGCACTGGGTAGAGTACTGAGAAGGGTCTTGCTTCAGGAGTAGAGTACAATTAGCCCTAGACTAAACACTGCTTTGGTCCAACCTAACAAATTTTTAAAACAAGATCTGAAAGGAACTATGTCTAAGTAACTCAACTGCATCCCAGCACAAAACTTAAGAATATTTGCAGAAATACAAAAATATTCTCAAAGTGAAATTCACAATGTCTGGCATTGAACAAAAAATACCATGTATTCAAAGAAGGAAAACATATCCATAATGAAGAGAAAATTCAGTCTTTCAAAGCTGACCCAAAATTGACACAGATATTGCAAATAGCAGACAAAGGCATTAAAAGTTATTATAACTGTGTTCTGTAGAATATGGTTCTATGAAGCTAGAGTAAAGATTAAACATGCTATGTTTATTAAACATGTTATATAGAGATATGAAATATACAAAAAAAGACCCAAATTAAGCTCTTAGATATGAAAACCACAACAGCTGAGGAGAAAATTTACTGGATGGGATTAACAGAAGATTAGACATTATTGAAGAAAAGACTGGTGAACTTGAAGACAAAGCAGCAGAAACTACCCAAAATGAAACATGCAGAGAAAACAAGTAATAAAAAACAGAACAGAGTGTAAATGAACTGTGAGATATCTTCCAGCAACCTAATATACATGTGACTGGAGTCTTTAAAGAACAGCAGACAGAGGGGGGAGGGAGAAAATATCTGAACAAGTAATGACCAAAATTTTTCCAAAGTTTATGAAAACTATAAACCTACAGATCCAAGAAATGCAAAGAATTCCAAGCACAAGAAATATGAAGAAAAATACACCAAGGCATATCAAAACCAAATTGGTCAAAACCAGCGATAGTAAAATCTTAAAAGCATTAAGAGAAAAGAGATACATTATGTACAGAAGAATAAATACAGGGTGATAGAAGATTTCTCATTGGTAACAAAAGAGCAAGAAAATAGAGGAGCAGCATTTTTAAAATATTGAAAAAATACCAACATAAACTCAGCAAAAATATTTTTCAAAAATGAAGGAAAAATAAAGATTTTTTTCAGACAGAGAAAAGCTAAAACAATTAATCAGATCTGCAGTACATAAAATGTTGCAGAACGTTCTTCAGGCAGAAAAAAGTGACACCAGATGAAAATTTATGTCTACACAAAACAATGAATAATACTGGAAATGGTAACTACTTGGGTATATAAAGCCTTTTTTTATTTATTTATTTAAATCTCTTAAAAATAATTGACTGTTGAAACAAAAATACTAACAATCTAGTGTGGAGTTTATATCATATGTAGAATTTAAATGTATGACAATAATAGCATGAAGACTGAGGAAAAATGGAAGTGATGTATAATATAATTTCAGGGTAGATTAAAATAAATTAAAGATGTACACTAGAAACTCTAAAGCAACCACTAAAATTAGGAAACAATGAGTTATAGCTACCAAGCCAAAAAAGGATATAAAATGGAATCAAAATATACTCAATCAAAAAGGACGCAGAAAAGTAGGAAAAGGGAAATAAAGAACATATGGGACAAATAGAAAATAACAAGAAAGTAAATTTAAAACTAACCATACCATATCAATAATCACATTAAACGTAAACAATCTAAATATCCAAATTAAAAAGCAGAAATTGTCATAATGGATTAAAAAAGCAACACCCAATTATATACTGCCTACAAGAAACCAACTTTAAATACAAAGATACAAATCAGTTAAACGTAGAAGAATGGAAAAACATATACCACGCCAAAACTAATCAAAAGAAAGGTGGAATGGCTATATTACATGAGATAAAGTAGACTTCAGAGCAAAGAATATCATGTGATAAAAGAAGGTCATGTGATAATGAAAAATTGGTCAATTCATCACAAAGGCACAGCAATCCTAAATGTCTATATACCTAATAACAGAGCTTCAAAATTCATGAAGAAAAGAAACTGATAGAACTGCAAGGAGAAACAGACAAATCCAAAATTACAGGCAGAAATCTCAACACACCTCTCTCAATATTTGATCAAACAAGAAATCAGAAAATCAGTAGAGATATAGAAGACTTGATCAACACTCTCAATCAACTTGACCTAATTGGTTTTTATAGAACACTCCACCTAACAACAGCAGAACACACATTCTTTTCAAGTGTACATGGAACATTTACCAAGACAGACCATATTCTAGGTCACAAAACAATTCTCAATAAAATTAAAAGGATCCAAATTGTATAAAGTATATTCTCTGATCACAATGGAATTAAATTAGTAATCAATAACATAAAAATCTGGAAAATGCCCAAATATTTGGAAACTGAAAAATATACATCTAAATAACCCATGAGTCAAGGAAGAAATCAAAAGGGAAATAGAATGTATTTTGAACTGAATGAAAATGCAAATATAGCAACAGAATTTGTGAAATGCTACTAAGTCAGTACTTCAGGAGAAATTTATACTAACCTCCTATATTAGTAAAGAAAAAAAGGTCTCAAATCAATGACTTCCACTTTCATCTTAAGCAAATAGAAAAAAGAATGCCAAATGAAACTCAAAGTAAACAAAAGAAATGAAATAATAAAGCTCAGAGTGGATATCAATGAAGTAGGAAACAGAAAAACAATGAAAAATCAATGAAAACCAAAGCTGGTTCTTTGAAAATAGCAATAAAATTAATAAACCTCTAGCCAGACAGACCAGGGGGAAAAAAGACAAAAAAATTACCAATATAAGAGAAATTTAATCATCTTTACTCTTTAACAATGTACTATTAATGCCAATAAAAGAATTAAAGAATATATAAATTACCATAGGCACTGTACAATCATTGTGATTTTTGCAAGACATGACAAGTACTTCCATTTAGGAAAAAAACTGCCAATATCAGGAATGAAGAGAGGGGATATCACTGCATATCTCACAGATATTAATATGATAATAACAGGGTATTATAAACAACTTTATGCCAATAAATTCAAGAACTCAAGTGAAATGGACAAAATCTTTGAAAGACAAAACTAAACCAAAGCTTACTCAAGAAGAAACGGAAAACCTGAAGAGTTCTATATATGTTAAAGAAATAGAATTTGTAGCTATAAACCTTCCGCAAAAGAAACATGCAGGCCCAGAAGGCCTCAATGGTGAATTCTACCAAACATTTAAGGAAAATGCAGTACAAGTTCTACATAAACTCTTCCAAAAAACTGAAGAAGAGGAAACACTTCCCAAGTTATTCTATAAGGCCAGTATTACCTTGATACCTACACCAGACAAAAACATCACAAGAAAAGAAAACCATATAACAATATCCCTCATGAACATAGATGTAAAAATATTTAACAAAATTTTAGCAAACAGAATCCAACAATATGTAAAAAATATAATACATGACAACTCAAGAGGGGTTCATCTGAGGGATGGAAGGTTGATTTAACATTCAAAAATCAACCAATGTAACTCACCATACTAACAAACTAAATAAGAAAAACCATATGATCATCTAAATGATGCAGAAAAAGCATTTGACAAAATTTAACATTCACTCTCAATGAAAAAAAAAAACTCTCAAACTAGAAATAGAAAGAAATTTCCCCAATTTGATGATTATACAAAGCATCTATAGCTAATATTATACTTGAAGGCTTTCCCCTTAAGATTGAGAACTGGCTAGGATATCTATTTTCACCATTTCTATTCAACACTGTACTAGAGATTCTAGCCAGTGTGATCAGGAAAGAATAAGAAAGGCATTGATTGGAAACAAAGAAAAACTATCTTCATTTACAGGTGACATGATTGTCTATGTAGTGAATCCAAAGGAATCAACAAAAAAGCTACTAAAACTGATAAATCTGTCTATTAAGGTTACAAGATAAAAGATTGATGTAAAAAAAATCAATAGTATTTCTATTTACTAACAGTGAACAACTGAAAATTAAAATAAAAAATACTACTACTTACAATAACATTTCATAACTCTTAGGGATTAATATGAGAAAAGATGTGCACAACCTGTACACTGAAAACTACAAAACATGTTGAGAGAAATTTAAAAACACCTAAATATATGGAGATATATACCATGTTCATGGGTTGGAAGTCTCAAAATTGTTAATATGTCAATTCTCCCCAAATTGATCTATGGATTCAACATCATCCTAATAAAGATCCCAGCAGTTTTTTTGTAGAAATTGACAAGCTGATTCTATAATTTATATGGAAATGCAATGGATCTAGAACAGTCAAAACAACTTTGAAAAAGAACAACAAAGTTGGAGGACTACTACTACCTGATTTCAAGACTTTTTATTAAAGCAACAGTTATCAAGACAGTGTGGTTTGGTGTAAAAATAGACAAACAGATCAATGGAAAATATAAACAGTGCAAAATACCCCCACAATTATTTTCAACAAAAGCACAAAGGCAATTCAGTGGAGAAGGGGTAGTCACTTCAACATATGGTACTAGAACAATTGGATATCACAGGCAAAAAAAAAAAAAAAATTTCAATCTATACCTCACACCACACACAAAAATCAACTCAAAATGTTATCATAGATCTAAACTACAAAACTTCTAGAAACATAGGAGAAAATCTTTACAACTTTGGGTTAGGCAAAGATCTCTTATATATAACACCAAAAACATGATTCATAAAAGAAAAAAATTGAACTTCATTAAAATTAAAAAACTCTTCAACAGACAGTTAAGAAAATAAAAAGATAAGCCACAGACAGGGAGAAAATATTTGCAAAACACATTATCTGATTAAGGACTTGTATCCAGAACATATTAAGAACTCTCAGAATTCAATGGTAAGACAACAAACAATCTAATGAAAAAATAGGCAAAACATCTGAACAGACATTTCAGCAAAGAAAATATATGGATAGCAAAAAATACATAAAAAGACACTGAACAGTATTAGTCATTGGAGAAATACAAATTAAAACCACAATGAGATACCACTACAACATCTATTAGAACGGCTAAAGCTAAAAAGACTGACCTACCAACCGTTGGCAAGGATGTGGAGAAACTGGAAGTATCATACACTTCTGGTAGGAATGTAAAATGGTACAACCCTTTTGGAAAATAGTTTAGAAGTTGCTTAAAAAGTTAAACATGCACCTACCAAATGATCTAGCCATTCCACTCCTAGGTATTTAACCAAGAGAAATGAAAACATATGACATACAAAGTCTTGTATACACATGTTCATAGCAGCTTTATACGTAATGGCTGAAAACTGAAAAGAAACCAAATGTCCATAAATAGATGAATGAATAAATAAATTGTAGTACATCCATACAACAGACTACTACTCAGCAATAAAAAGGAACGAACTATTGATACACACAACATGGATGAATCTTAAAACAATTATGTTGAGTGAAAAAGGCCAGGCAAAAATGAGTACATTCTGTATAATTACATATAAAATTTTATGGGTTTTTTTTAAAATAATTTTACTTATTTATTTTTCCCCCAAAGCCCCAGTAGATAGTTGTATGTCATAGTTGCACATCCTTCTAGTTGCTGCATGTGGGACGCGGCCTCAGCATGGCCAGAGAAGCGGTGCGTCGGTGCGCGCCCGGGATCCGAACCCGGGCCGCCAGCAGCGGAGCGCACGCACTTAACCGCTAAGCCACGGGGCCGGCCCCACATATAAAATTTTAGAAAATGAAAGCTAACCTATGGCGACAGGAAGTAGATCAGTGGTTGCCTAGAGATGGGGCAGAGACGGGGTGGGAGGTAGGGAGGGATTACAAAGGCACATGAGGAAACTTTTGTGGGACATGGATATGTTCATTATCTTGATTATAGTGTTGGTCTCATGGTTATATACATATGCCAGAATTTATCAAATTTTACACTTTAAATATGTACAGTTTATTGTATCTCAATTATATAACTCAATAAAGCTACTAAAAAATCCATAGGACTTCATATATAATGATGGAGCAGGAGGTACAGAGAATACACATGCAAGATCCATTAGTACTGGGATTTTAATCTATTTTTATTACTATTGTATCTCCATTGCCTACATCAGCGCCTGATATAGCAGGGGCTCAGTCAACATTTGTAAATGACTAGCCTCCCACCCACCAAAAGAACAACAATACACATGCGGGGGCAGAATAGAGGCCAAGACTAATTCTAGGTGATTATAATAGAAAACTGAGGCATAAAATTCTTTCTGAGTCATAATTTGTGATTATGCTTATCATTATTTCTCACAGCAATCTGGTCTCACATATTAAAAACGTATGTAGACATTAATACAGATTTCTGGTCTAAAACTTATGGTAAACCAGTAAACATTCTTAGCCTTATAGGATAGTTTGCTAGCATACATGGCTTTATTGCAATTGCCAAAATAAGAATATATTTATTTGATATTCCTCACTGACAATGCACATCTTCACATTTATTTTAGTTTCTTCAAGGAAACTACTATTAGACACGTTTTCTATTACAAATTATCTTAGGACCTATTTGGTACAGTTAAGCTTCCTGTTAAAATAGAATCAATCTATTCCACTGGTTTACAAAGCTTTTGAAGTAGCAGAAAATTTAGTCTGATGATCTGAATTTCTTGATTTATTAAAAAAACACTTTGTTCCATAACATTTAAAGGGAGTTTTTGGATCCTTAAAAGATGTTATGAATCAATTTTCTTAGCAATGGTGTAGCAGATGTTTCCATTACAAATTCTACTGTCTGCAATCATTATATACTGCACATTCTTACTGGCAGTCTGTGATTGATGTACACCATGGTAATGCTTACGTCTGCAACAGACAAAGTCTGTTCCAAGGTTCTAGGAGATGGTGTGTGTCCTAATTTAGCCAACCTCAAACAACACTAGAGGCCACAAGGGTAAGGACATAGAGTTTTTAATTACGTCTTGTCTCCAGAAAAGCTCAAAGCACACATCCTTAACAGTGGTTTGATAATATCTCCAATAAACAATGGCTAACCAGTAAGAGGTGGGCGAGCATTTGGTTGGATAGGATATATTGCCTACTACAATAAAATGAAAGTGATAATCATATCCCACTATGAGTAAGCAAAATTCCAGGTTATGCTAAGGAAGTTTTTGAAAGAATTATTTTCTTAATTAGTATAATTTATATAAAAAGGTAGTTACTCTTATGAGAAGGAAAGTAGGAAGATGGGAAAGTGAAAAAGGAATAGAAGAGAGGTGAACTAACATTATAATATTATTATGTGCCAGGCACTTCATATATGTTTTATGTGCCAGGCACTTCATATATGTTTTATGTGCCAGGCACTTCATGTACGTTATTTCATGTGATACTTATGACATTTCCATGCAGGAGCTATAACTGCCTTCACTTTGCAGAAAAGAGAACTGACACTCAGTGAGATGAAATAATTTGTCCCAAGGTCACAGCCCTAACAACACTGGAGCTCAGTTTCTAACCCAGGCCTGTTGACTCCAAAGTCATGGTTCTCTCATTATTCTATGCAAATTACCATAGAAAGAATTTAACATTAGAAAAGCACATAACATGTTTATTTTTGCTGATGAAGATGTCAGCCACAAGCTGCCTTGACAAAGTGAGTCACTGTGGATTTGACTTACTTCAAGGAGGAATCCCCGACACCAATGCAGCCTCGCAAGCTGAGCTTCCTCAGGAAACCACCACATCGCTTTGAGATATTTTCCACCACTCGACCCTTGAATCAAGAAAGTTAGGAAAAAAATCTTGTTTTTCATGCTGCTCATCTAACAGCATAATAACCTGAAATTTAGGAACTGCATATATTTTTCCAGGTATAATAGAAGATATTTTGGAACATTCCTCCAACACCCCACTACTGTCCCTAGTGCATAAAGAGGCTACAAGCATTGAAAAATGTTTCCAATTAAAGCCTTAAGTATTTAAAAAAAAAAAAAAAAAAAGTGCACTACTTTTTGAAAGCCTTAACCCTGGAGTTAGGACTCATAAAGGGAGACTACTACTCCACAATGGAGGTAAAGAAGAGTATGTCTGGAATACAAGAGCTTCCTTAGGATGTCTCTCAGTATTACCATGCCTTGTGATTAAAGTCAATGGAAAACTACAAGCCAATCCAGGCAGGACTAATGGCCCATATACTTCAGGAATTATGGTTTGAGTCACTCCACCAGGTAAAGAACCACAACTAGCTGAGGTGCTTGCTGAAGACTAAGGGATACAGAATTGGGTAGCAGAAGAAGGTAAATATAAATACCAACTACAACCATGTGACCAGTTACAGAAATGAGGACTATAATTGCCATGAATATTTCCTCCCTATGTTGTTATGAACATGTGTGCGTGTGCGTGTATAAAGCAAATTATATTTGTTTTCTTTCCCCTCTTATTCCCTTATCATGTAACATAAGGTGTATTGACTTTATGTGATAGCATTTAAGTATTGTTAATTCTACATCATAGTATTTAAGGGACAGGATATCAAGGAGAATAATGAATATCACTCAAGAACTTTACATCCTCTTCTGAGAAAGAGGTCAGTGTGTTTCTGGTTGTAAATTGGATAGTTGTATCACGTGAGGTGGAATTATGACCTTGTTATTGTCTTTATTTGGAGATTAAGTATGGTTTAAGAGATGCCATATGGGTGCCAAGTTGACAAGCAGTGAACTTGTGATGATTAATTTTATGTATCAACTTGACTAGGGCACAAGGTGCCCAGACAGTTGGCTATGAAATGAAAAGAAAATTTAATGAATGAATTAATTGAATGAATAAGAGAAGTTAGGCTTCAACTAAACTGAAGTTGGGAAGGCCTGTAGGGGGAGTTCTCATGCCCTATCACACATTGTCAATTACTCCAAACAGGAAAAGACATACATTTGCATCTCCAACAGGAAATAAAACTACTTCACTACTGAAGGAAGACTTCTCTCCTTACCTGGCAACAGCCCAGCTAATGAAATGCCACAATTCAGCCAATGAGAAGCCATTCCCACCCTGAACTGTTACTTCCCTGCAATGGACTTTTGTTTAACAACAGCCTCTCCCTACTCTCACTTTTTCTCTATTAAACCAAGCCTCTTCCTTGGTTCTTTGGATTTGCCTATGGTTCACCATAGCATGCAAGTCTTGAATTGCAATTCTTTTGATTATTCATGAATAAACTTGTTTTGAAGGTAAAATAACTGGTGAATTTGCTTTTTAAGTTGACATATATGGTGTCAGAAGTGGCATCTGAAGGAGGTGACCCTTGAGAGATGGCAACCCCCAGAATCAAGTGAGGTACACGCACTGAGCCCCTTGTGCTCATCGCTTCTGTGAGCTGTCACCTACTTTCAGTTTGGTGAGTGCCTTCTAGGATTCTGAGCTCCACTCTCCTTGTGTTTTGAGCTCTCTGATTTTATTCAGGATCAGCAGAGGCATTGTCCTGTCAGGGGTAGGAATTTGTCCTTCTTGGTTCAAGTCTCTGTCCTTGAGTTCAAGGCATCATTCTTAATGAGCACTCAGTTATTTTCTGAAGGTAGAACACTTCCTTCTGGGGTTTGGTTTTCAGATTCCTTTTGGAATCAGGGCTGAAAATCTGGCAATGTTCTTTCATGTTTAGATTTCTTGGGGGATTAAGGACCCTAGCAACTTTCTTGGGTTTTCAGAGAAAATTTCAGAAATGGGATCCCAATCATCTAAATGTTCTGAGGAAAGTCCTCCTTCAGGCATCCTAGCCAGGCTTATGTTTAAGAACTTTGGGGCCCCTACATGCACATTTTTAACTAAGGGGGTGAAACTGACAAAGAGAAGTACATAATTACAATGGCCATTATGGGGAACTTTTGATCTCCCCAAACTTGCTTTTCTTAAAGCCAAATTGGAAGACCATGGCTCTAAAATTAAGCAAAATGAATATGCCTATTTTCATTGGTAGCTGGAGGCTTCTGGACATGCAGAAAACTCTAAAATTGCCTCACTACAAGATACCTTGTCTAAATTAGCTGAAACAACTAAAAAACTGAGGGGGAACAAAATGGCTTCTGAAGCCTCATGTTCCCCTCCCCATTCTTTTTTGTCTCAGGCACCATCTTGTTTGTCTTCCCAGACTTCTTTGTCTCAGACTTTAACCCACCAGCCATTTTGTGCACAGGCTCCAGCCCCAGTGCCATCTTCCCCTTTTCCCCTCTGCAAAACCTGCAAAACAAGGGTTGAAACATTTATCCTTTTTTCCCTACCTAATCTCTCCAGAATTTGGAAACTCTTAAGTATTCTTTTCATGACAATATGTGTATTTGCATAAATGCAATGAGAATCTGTTCTCCTTATAACAGGACAATTAAAATAACAATTGGAAATATTGGCTAATATTACCAAAGCTTTGATCAGAATGTCATATTTAAGAGAGATATATGTAGACTAAGATATGACCAGATAGCTTTAAGGAACTGCTTGTTTACAAGCTTCCAGCAAAGCAATCTTTAAAAAGAGTTTGTATGGTCAATCACTATTTTTGCTGCATTTATATAAATAATCAGGCTAAGTTTAATACAAACAAATTAGTTTTACTATGATTATCTTTAATAAAAATGGGAGTAATTGTGGAGAGAGAAATTAGGCTTGCACCTTTGCAGATATTAAAGTCTAGCCCTATTGTCTTTAAGGTTTTGTTATATACCTGTAAGATGATCTGGATCCTACCTTCTTCTAGTTTCCTTAAATATCTGGCAACAATGCTCCAAACTGATGTTTCCAATATTACTACCCTTGAAATCTCCTTGGAAGGCATCATACCAGGTCCTCCTCACTACCCAGAGGGAAGCGCCAAACTTCAGGAACTCAAGCCTTGGGTACATGTCTCACAGCTAAAGAAGGCTTCACCTGACACGTATACTATCGCTGGGGATTTCCAAATCAAACTGACTAGGAAGAGAAGCAGCTGACATCTGAGGCAGACAGCTTTCCCAAGATGACTGGACCAGGCCTTTATACCCTCTTCCCACTTTGTTTCTTAATTTATTTTCTCCCTCTCTTTCCTGGAAGGACAATGCTCTTGTCTGCATTTCCCAATCCCTTGCAAAAGTGGGAAACCTCTGATTGCTGGATTTATCATCAGAAACCTCGGTCTGTCCAAGACAGTCAAGACCCCTTAGTTCACCCTATAAGCAATTTCACTGGGATTCCAGATGCTGTTATTTGTCTAAATTGCTCTGCTGGCCCCTTTTACTGAGTCAGGGTGCTAAGCCCATCTAAACTTGTCCCTTGCTTTAATTCAACCCAGCCTTAGAAGGGGAAAACAAGAGCTTTCAAATATTTGCATGAAAAATTTTGTGGGACCATCAATGTAAGTTGAATTGTTTGTATATTCTTAACACGTCCACGTATTTAGGCAATCTCTTGGTATGTAACAACACAGTATCTGAACCCTGATTATATAATACTAATGCCTCTATGCCAATGAATGAGTCTATAAATGATATCACTAATGCAGGAGCTTTATGTACATCCCTGGTCATGTCTTCATCCATGGAGGTTTCAGTAACAGCCTTTACGCCCAGGCAACTCACTACCTTGATAGCTGGAGAATATAAAGACAGCGTGCCCTTGCGGTATTCACTGACCTGTTCTCTCTGCATCATCAAACAGAGACCTCTCATGGGTCTCTCCCATTGAATCTTTAAACAAGAACTTTCAGGAGGCATGTGTGACTCTCGGTTTGCCTCCATGGGAAGAGCTTTCTACACCTCAACACTAGAAGAGCTGGCCAACTCCACAGCCAAAGCAATTTCAGCACAGCAATAGTCACTGAACGCATTGGCCAAGGTAGTTTTGGATAACTGTATAGGTCTTGATAATCTACTTGCTGAGCAAGGAGGTATCTGTGCAGAGGTGAACACCTCCTGTTGCACATGGATAAATGCCTCTAGGGGAGTAAAAACCCGATCACAGAAGATTAGAGAGTAAGTACATTGGCCACAACAAATTTCACCTAACAGTCCACCGTCTTTTGTGTTTTTTCCAGCTGGTTACCTTTAGGTCTGGGCTCCTGGTTTAGAAGCACCCTGCAAAGTGGGTTTATAATAATGCTCTTAATCTTACTCTGTATACTTGTTGTAAAGTTCTGTACCCACTGCCTGTCTAACCTCTGTAAAAATGATGTGTCCAATAAGGTGATGCTAGCTCAGCACTTCAAGATGATTTCCAATGCTTATGACCTTAGAGAAATAGAGACTTCAGATAGGAAATGCCCAAGAGTTCTCCCTTCTAACCTTTCTCTTACTGAAATGTGGCCTAAATGGTTTCCAACCACTATTTACCTTCCCTCCAATGTGGGAGGGAAAGATCCTTCCCAGCACCGAGGGACAATACCACTACATGCAGAGAACCTGACCATTGATCAGCAATACCTTCAGAGAAAGATCTCGATTAAAAGGGGAAAATGTGAAATGAATTAGAGAAACCTCAACTAAATTGAAGTCAGGAAGGCCTGTAGAGGGAGCTCTTACATCCTATCATACATCGTTAATTACTCCAACCAGGAAGAGACATACCTTGCATCTCCAACAGGAAGTACAACTACTTTACTACTGAAGGAAGATTTCTCTCCCCACCCAACAACAGCCCAGCCAATAAGAAACACTGCAGTTCAGCCAATGAGAAGACATTGCCACCCTGAACTGTTACTTTCCCCCAATTGATTTTTGTTTATAACAGCCCCTCCCTATTCCCCCTTTT